GAATTTAATCATTATCATTGTCTACTTCCTTTAATTCGTGTAGAGTGCGTTCAATAATTTCTTCATCAGTTAACATTTCATGATATTTTTCAGCTAGATGAATTGCGTGTTCGTATGACAAAGAATGAGTTATTCAAATCGTCGAATAATGTTTATTCTTTCTCTTCTATTCTATGATATCTTTTGTTTTGGAAATGCAATAGTTTTGACTTTATACATTAGTTCGATAACGATTTCTTCAGCATTATGTTTGCTTCAATTCTCATGTTAAGTAAGTAAATCGATGAGAAACTCTGAAGCACTTATTGGTAGAGAATGTTGAATTTTACTCTTCAATCAATAATTTCCGCGTTAGAATCATTTAATTAGATTTAAATATTTTTCTATAAGATAATAAACATAAGATAAATCTATTTTAGATTCTTATGGATCTATATTTTAATTATAATTAAAGAGAGATTTACAAATAAGTTAAGCGTGCTACAACTTACATCCTCGCGATTTAAAATGTATTATTTAGTAAAGGGAAAGGGCCTCTTATTTGTTATAATTAAAGCCCTAATAAATCTACATTAAGTCTGATGACTACTTCAGTTTATGTAAGTTTATTTACATTAGATTTTACATGAACTAAATTTACATTTGTTGTGGCTTTAGCTACCAAATATAAAAGGCTCGTACTCCTCCAAAATGTGGGGCCCTCATAATATGAGGCCCTTTGAGGTAATTTGCTTAGCATACGCGTAAATACAACCATGTTTAGAGTATAAAGATTGGAGATTAATACCTTCAGTATACTTAAATTATTTTATATAAAATTAACAAAGGAGAAAAAAATCAGATTTTTACATATTAATTATAGAAGAATGATTTACTTAATCATATTCTACCAAATTATTAATTTAAGTCAGTAAAAGATTTATTCGCGGGTTTGAAGCATTAAACTATTTTGAAATTCTTTAATTAATTATTAAGATATTTTGAAGTTCATTCATTAATATTAATTTTTAACAAATTAATCAAAATTTAACGATAGTTAATAAAATTTAAAGCGAAGTTTAATAATGTATTTAAGATATTTTCGTATATTTTACGCTATTTTTCCTATAGACAAAAATTCAAAATGATAATAAAAACAGACTCTATAAAGCTACATGAAAAACTGATGGATCCTTTTCAACTTCTCTGTATGAATTTTGAAAAATGTTAGTATTTGTGTGTCCCTAGCGACGTAGGATGTCCGATACTCCCCTTCTCATGATCCATTTATCAACATCACTTGACAGAAAGCATAAGAAAAAAGGAAAAGCATAAGGAAAGTATGTAAATAATCGTTTCTCTTGCAAAGCTCAATAATTCTTAGATAGAAACGTTTAAAAATATATAAAGTTTAAAGAAAAAAAAACCCATTTTTGTTTACGAAAATTTATAATAATTATTCAAGAAAATTTAATAATAATTCTTTTTTCTGCTGTATTAAAAAAAATGCAAACAAATTATTCTGCCAAAATGTACTTTGCATTATCATTTTAAATTCTTTCATCATTAAACTGATATCGGTTCTGTAGATTTTATTATTCACCTGACCACAAATTTCGATATTTTTCGACCATCTATTCATCATGATGAAGTTAATTAGATATAGGTAAAGGATCACACCTGTCTTTCTTATCTTCTCTGTCATTATTATAATAGTGTCCAAAATGAAGTATGGAGTGGTAACGTATCATTAATCAGCAGCTACTTGTTAAGTCATCTTATTTTTCTTCATTCTTGTAAAGATGGGATGCGTAGGTAATCAACACTTTGATAATGCTACACCCTAAAGAATAAGGGGAATTAAGGCAAGTCTTCGTCTAGAAATGACTCTTATATCTTAATGACTTTACCTTATCCGAAAAATATCGATTAATTAAGAACTTTTTCATTTATAAACTAATATTATACATTTTAACATGATCAAAATTCAAAGTAGCAATTAATTGTTGTAAACAATCTTAATATGGGAGTGATTTTTTTAAGAGTAACCAAATTAGATTATTAATACGTAAAAAAAATATTTATAATTATAATTTTAGATTGAAATTTTATGCTTATTTCTGATGAATTCATATTCAAATTTGCTATAGCTCCTTCTAATCAGATGGATTAGAAGGAGAAAATATTGTAAAACAAAAAGAAAGACCAAATATTTAAAAAATAAAATAATAATAAATACATTCAAGTTTATAAATTTTAGAGTATTTTTCTTTTTTCCACTAAAGTTTGAATTATTTCTGATCAAGAATTGATCAGAATCTGCTTAGAAGCAAAATATTAATTTCGCTTCTAATCAGATATTTTAAAAAGTACAAAAAACAATAATAAAAAATTGCAAAAAAATGATTAAAAATTGTAATTCTAGAATTCTTCTGGACATTTTTCGAAAATTTTATATGGATTTCACCATTCAATCCTAATCAAATTCGGTGTGAGAATGTATGTTTGCTTCGAAATAAGTGAAAATTTCGAGTGACCTTTGCAAATCATTTTCGAGATGTTCATCGAACGAACAGACACACGAACGAATAAAATATTTATATATGATTTTTTTAACGTTAAAAGTTTTAACGTTTAGTTTCTCAATAATCATCATTAAAACACTAAAATCCGATGGAGTAATTTAATTTAAATTGAATTAAAGTACTATTTATCTTAGCTTATTAGATAAATTACTTGGAGTTATTAATCTTATTGATCGATACGAGTTTATTTTAAGTTTATCACAATAACACTTATTCTAAAATATACAATTTATAAAATTCCGTGATAATAAGCAACATCCTTAACAGACAAATAAAAACTACTTTAAACTTAATTAAAAATCTTCGAAAATCATTTATCAGAAGTAAATTAAATTATAAAATGATGTTATTTATTAAATATATTAATATTTTTTGAAAGAAAAATATTATCTAAAATCGTCATCGGTACTAACAAAGTCTAAAGCATTTGTTAAGCAGGCATAATCTATCATTTCAAGTCATGGCATGGTTTGCATGTTCATGATCTTCACTGTACACAAGATCACGCAAGTCTGATATTTGGTTATAGAATTGCGTGTTAGTACAACTGAAGGTAAGTAAATTAAATTTTAGATATTCACTCGTATGATATTAACTATTATTATTCCTTGTACCATGTTTACAATTACTCTTCGTCAATTCGAGGGACATGTTAAGGACACTATAAACAAGGCGTATATTAATTATAAACGTAGCCGATAATCGTTTCTAGTAGTAAACGTTGTACTGTTTTGTGTCTAGTAGAGAACACTGTGTTGATGAATTTGGCCAGAAGCATCATTTTGCCTAAAGTGTATTGTCAATGTATACGATAAAGGATTGTAGTCCAGTTAATTGTTAATGTAAATAGTTCTAAGCATCTAAGAAATTATACCAATTATTATTATTTTTATTAATCTTTCCCCAATTCCAACTTTCGGCTTTATTTAAATTTCTAGAAATGACACATATGGAAATATCTTTCTTTTGTTTGTTTTAAAGCTCTAGCTACCAATTCTCTACGTAAGATAAAATTTATAAATAAATTAATTTAATTTTAGAATTGTTATTACTTAAAATTTTAGCTTCTCACACTAACAGATTGATCTTAAAATGCTGTATAAATACAGTCGAACCTCTAAAGAACAGCCACCTGCTAAAAACGGCCACTTTTAGGTTCCCATCAATGGCCGTTTTTAAGAGGTTTGACTGTATAAAATATTCTGAAAAATTGTGAAAGAATTCTTTCTGAAAAATTCAATTGATAAAATGAAGAAAAAAGAAAAGGAAAAGATAATAAATTCATTTTAGAATAACACAGATTAAATTTTTTTATTTTTACTTTGTTTAAATTTCTATTTAAATCTTAAATTATTCGTGTAATCAATTGAAGAAAATTGGAAAATAATCAAAATAATTTCCGACTTATTAAATCAAGATGATAGTTTCTAAACGACATTTTTAATTAGAAAAGAATGGCAATTATAAAAGGAGGGAAACGAATAACAAAGAATGATAATTATTTCAGAGAAGAAACAAAATCGTTGATAATTTAATCATAATTATTGTATAAAATTTCGGTTATTTTAATAAATTAGATAATAATAAAGGAAAGGAATTCACTTCGGTATTTTCTTTAACATTCTACATAATACTTTGGTTTATTTACGATCCTTTATTTCGCAAGATACATTCTAAAACATTGTATTTTTGTGCTTCATAAGCTATTTTGTCAAGAAAATGGATAAATATGATAGAAATTAAGTAAATCTGAATACATTTCTTCTATAACATAATTCAAAAAACACCTTCTAAAAACGGAATTAAATGGAGGAAAGAAGTTACACATTTTACGAAAGGATTACATCATATTAAAAATATTTTTTTTAAAGTTAAATCCTACGTAATTTCTTTAAAATATTTTTTAAAATTTTAAGTTTAATCTAGTAGAAATTATTAGTAAAAACTTTTTTTACTGTCGAGTCTTACTCGTGATCCCTCTTGAACTCAATAAAATAGTTTTATAGAAGATATTTGTCTCTTTCCTCTTTTATATCCTTATTTAATGAAGTTATACAGTTTTTTAATTGTTAAAATCTTCTTAAACTTTGTAAGAATTTAATAATTTTTGTAATAAAATGATTACAAGACTCTACTGGAAAGCATTTAGGGCGAGTGAAAGAAGGGGAAAAAGAAGTTAATTCGATAAAAACTTTTTAAATTTTTAAATATATAAATATTATCTAGAGTGGGAGCAAAATTCTATTTCTCGGTTTGGCCATCTTATTTTCGTCCCCGTAGCCCAATAGTTTATTTTCATCAATCNTTTTACTTATAAAGATATCTTGGATATTTTTAACTAAGACTACGTTATTTTAATATAAAAAAAAAATTTTTTTAATTGTCATCTTACTCATTTGCCTTATCACAATAGATAATTACGCTGTTTCTCAATTGTTGGCTTTTATTCATCATAATATTCATTTTTCTTTTTTCTTCTTCTTCTTCTTCTTTGACTTTAATGAGGGCATTTAATTAAAACTTTCTACAATTCGTTTAGTTATAATGCTTGAAAATATACGTTAATTTTATGCGAATATCGTCCAAGGATGGGCTGGACCAAAAGTCAGTTTACCATTCACTAACGTTTATAAGCAAGACAGTAAATTAATCTTTACAATAGTTAATTGATTTTGATTTTCTCTGTGTATATTTTTCATTTAAAAATAAATGGGATATAGGCTTAATATACTTATACCTTTTAAATGTAATTTTTAAAAGTATAAATACAGTTAAACCTCTGAACAACGGCCACTGAGATGGTGGCCGTTGTTCAGAGGTTTAGCAAAAATACATAGAAAATAACTTCTGAGCAACGGCCAATTTTTGGACGTTGCTCAGAAGTTATTTTGTATGCATTTTTGTTAAAATAGTTCTTGAAAAACTGGCCGCTGTTTAAAGGTAGCGGTTATCGAAGTTTAAACTAAAAAATAGCGTATTTTAAATATATAAATATTATCTAGAGTGGGAGCAAAATTCTATTTCTCGGTTTGGCCATCTTATTTTCGTCCCCGTAGCCCAATAGTTTATTTTCATCAATCGGAATACCACCAGTTCTGTCAGAGAACACGTCGGAGGACAAACACCAATCGAAGAAGAGAAGACGTTCATAGGAAACAATTTTAAAAGCAATTTCCCGATTCCTATGACTGAAGTCCGAGATAGGTAAGCTTTTATTGTGATGGAAGACGGGGTAAGCATTGTTGGTTTCTTTCCACATCGTGACTCACTTTAGCTTTAAACTCCATAGAGGACTGAGGTAAGGGAATAATTCGTAGTTAGGTGTACCAATCTGACAACACTCAGCCCCCAGGGAAGTAGAAAACAAGATGGACCGTCGACACGTGAGTTTGAAGCAAATCGTACTCGAGTGTAGTCGAGTGTGGCGGAGAATGTTCTTTTTCTTCTAAAAATACAGCAGGATAAAGAGAAAAACATTCGGTTTCCTAATTCCATAATAATTCCACTATCTGATTTCGTGTTTAAAATCGAGTAAAAGCTTAAATGCCCTACTAAAAGCTTCAGAGAGTCGCGAATATAATAATTTATTTATTACTTTTGATTAATTAAACTTATCAATTAAGAATGAAATGGTTATAGTAAACACGATAAATATTTTGATTTAAATTTTTCTTAATATAAAGAACTTGATGCTAATATTTATGGTTTTCGGATACCAGCAATAAAATGCTCTAAGTACTATCCTGGATAAAGAAACCATAATATCTCTGTACTTTTATTAAGAATTTATATGCCTAATAGAAATCACACAGTTGCAGATACGCAAATAATGCAACAGGCCCGTTTAAAATCTCGATTTTAAGTAATAAAATAATTTGATTTTATCTGAATTACAGATACTTTATCATTTAAATTATGCAGATTTTCCATTAGGTCCACCAGGCCCGTGCCTAGGGGAGCAAAAATTCAAAGTAATAACGGTAACAATATCAATAAAATAATGAAACAATTCATAAAGGAATTAGTGCAAATTAAAAGCTTAAATAAGGACAAAATAAGATATATCAGTTGAATAATATTAATATATGAATATATTGTGTATGAACAGAGTAATAGAGTACTAAAGAATGGTTTTCAATAGTAGTGACCTTTGTCCTTTCGATATTTAAAAATACAATTATTACGGAATTATGAATATATTTAATGAAATATGGTTTTCTTACCTGACTATGCGATTTAAAATCGGATAATCCAGTAAGATAATCTGATGTCATTTGATGTAGTATCCGGATTAAAATGGGAAAGATTAGACAAGTTTAACTGCAAATTGGATAAAGATAAGATCAACCAGTGTCTGGTTTAAAACAAGATCAAGGCAATCTTATCTAAATTTACCTTTCAACAACAATGGAAATAGCAATTATTTTTACCAACCTTAACAGCCATTTGATCCAAGTTCCTTAGAAGCTATGGGCAAGATTGTTTACAATGCTGTTTCTTTTATAAATCAAATATAATTTAAATAGTTAAATATTTTTATTACAAGTAATCAAAATATTAAAGCATACAAGAGGGGGTACCGAGACCTCGGTGTTCATAAGAGTCTCAAAAAGCTCCCATATATTAAATGGGCCAAGCCATTTCGTGCTTAACAATCTTATATTTATGATTGATTAAGGTTTAACTTCTAGATTTAAAAAAAAGTTTGTAAATCGAGAGAAAAAAAAAGTTTATTAAGAAAATTTTATGTTAAAATCAAACTCGATAATGCCAAGAAAAAGGGAGATTTTCGTATATTTATGATTAAAGTAATTATTCAACAATTTGGCTCCTTTAATGAGGTCCCGTGATGCAAAAGTTCGATCTTAGAGTTACCTTCAATTAAAATGTACATAATTAAAATATTAATTCAATCAGACTGTGCAGACCGCTTCTGTTTTTAAAACTGTAAAAGGCGTCACGAAATCGTCACCACCTCGTTATCCGGTATATTTTCGTGACACACGTGCGTGATACCAATGTCACTATTTATCCGTAACAAGCACGCTATGGCGTGGCATGAGTGGAGAAAATAAATTCTTTGCTAGTGATCTCTTTGTCTCAGAAATATGCTGATATGTCATTCGAGCGTATACATTATTAATAAAGTAAATAAAATATTATGAAAATTGTATAAACTTTTATAAAACTTTTACGTGATTAAACGTTAATTAAGATGAGAATTTTTTCAAAAAAAATAAAATAAAATAAATATTTAGGATTAATTTCGAGTTTTATACAAATTAATCATGTAATGTGATTTAGAAATACAAGTTTAGCCATCCCACATTTAGATTTTGTAATTATTTTTACGGTATAATTTAAGAATATGTAAATTGTGTATTTATTTATGAAAAGTAGACACTTTAATCTCTTTAAATTACTTTTTATGTTATACAAAATATTAGCGTTAATATTATAATTTTATTTGGAATTATGCTTATTGAGTACGAGTGTTTATATGATGAGACGGTTAATGTTTCAAAATATTAACTATCATCTCACTAACACAATTTTTAAACACAAAAATATATTTATTTGATGTTCAAAAGCTTGTAATCACATTCTAAAAAGTGGATAATTAATAATTGCGATTTTAGACGTAAAAAAAAAGCCTTTGTTTATTCAAATATTGAGCAGGTTTTCTGTTAGACCTATATTGGTGTGTTTAGTAGGCCATTGTTTCCCTCTTAGATAGTGTTTTAAAGCATAAAAATACATTTATTTGATGCTGAGAAGCATCTAATTATGCTCTAAAGGGAGAATAATTAAAAATTGAGATTTTACAAGTAGAAAAAATTTCGTGATTATTCATATATTGAGCATCTCTCCTATGTTAAATCTATATATCTTACGCTTCCATAAATAATTGAAAACAATAAACAGATTCGTATTCCACTAAACTTATTCAGAGATAAATTTAATAATCTTCAGAATAAATTATTATTAGTTTTATTATCGATAATAACAACATCAAAGTAGTAATATAATAATAATTAATTTAAAAAAAATAACAACAACATTATTTGATTACCTTAATTGAAAATGTAAGAATTGAACTTTCTTAATTACTTTCAAACTTAGCAATTACATTTTCCAATCGGTAATTTTTATTCTAAAGTAAAATTTAATTTTAAAAGAAGAGAAAATTCGATATTTTGTAAAGATAAAAGTAGTATGTGAACGTGAACTTTTATTAACTTATCTTTCTTTTCTTATATATTTTTTTTCCTCTTGCTCCTCTTTGCTAATTTGCTCTCTTGTTTACTTATTACCGTCGTAATTACCTAAAGTGTAAATGGTTAAAGTATCTCGATGAAATTTAGCGTAAAACTACTACAAAATCGGAGTATACTAAGAGATGTTGGATATAAATTACTTTAACAAACCATCATTACGTTATCTCTATGTTAAACAGCATCTTATCCTTCATAATTTGCTTTTATGTACTTTTCATGCTTCCTATTTTACTACTACTCTTATTATTATTACTATTATCATCATTTTTACCTTTCGGGTAGAGTGAAGGGAGATTATCTTAAAAATAATAATACCGGAACTATGCAATTGCATTTCCTTCTAACGTGAAAACAAGCTAATTAACTTTTGAATATTGCCTAAGAAGTATATAATTAACTTATAAATCTATAGTTTAGCTTCATATATTTCTCGTTTGTCGTGTTTTTTTATGAGCCATGTTAACTTTATGTTGCTCTTCACATACAAGAGACCGTTAGCTTCAATAGAGTGTGAAGATTAACTTCCTACATAAAGTTTTATATTTAGAAGTTGAAAATCACTTTAAATTTATTTTTTATGTGCTTTCAAAATCGGTTTATAACATTTTTAACTATAAAAAAATGCGTAAAATTATTTATTTTATTATTTAAAAATTATATAT